TGTCCACAAATTCGATATTTCTATTTTCATTCTCTTCGAATTCAATGCCTTCTTTAAACTGAATTATTATAAATCTGCAATCTCTCCCTGTTATTTCCCATCAGAAAAGGAATTTAGCGTGGAGACCTTCGTGGTTCAAGCCGACTTCAGGAAGCTGGACATCTACGAGGGGATAAAGGAGAAGCTGGCGGGCCTGGACGTCGGGGTCCTCGTGAACAACGTGGGGATGACAACGGATATTCAGTCATTCCTGGATGTCCCCGAGGGAGAGAAGGCGTACCAGGACTTGATCCTTGTCAACAACATGTCCCTGGTCCGAATGACCCACATGGTCCTCCCTGGGATGGTCGAGAAGAGAAAGGGGATCATCATCAATGTCTCCTCCCTTTCTGCCGTCTCCCCGATTCCTCTCATTGCAACCTACGCCGCAACAAAAAGGTATATTCATGACATCTTCATCTTTTGAAAGCAACCACCGAAGGTTTCACCCGTTCAATTATGCTGTATTGAAGGCGTCAGCACCTGGACCCTCTATTAAGCAATATGTGAATAAAAAGTTTACTCTTACGTTTGCACGCTTAAGCAGCTCATTCATATACAATTAATAAAGAAACCAACCCGTTAAAAAAGGTAGGCTTTACGCAACATTTATCTTAAAGTCTGAAGAACCGCTCTGTTCAGATTGAGTAGTTGGACGAGAGAGGTGTTCGTTTCATAAGTGATGCCCTCAGTCTCACTTGAAAAGTTGAACTCCCACAAAGGATAGCTCCATAAGATCGGGAATCCAGGCAGAAAAATCAATCATATGTCTTCATTCCAGGCCTTTGTTGACAGCTTCTCTCGGAGTCTTGCCTGGGAATACAAAAGAAAAGGAATTCATGTCCACCTCGTCGGCCCTGGGTGAGTCTACTTCGTTCACAGAAATGCTAATAAGCTTCTGTTCCATTCCATTCTGACGAATGTGCTAGGAACTTTGGTAAATATACAGGTAAGCTCCTAGTTAGACCTAGAGAGTTCATGGTGACTAACTCTTCCTCGTTCTTTGCTGCCATCAGAGTGATTTCTATCCAGGTTTTTAAATTCGCCATGCAGCTTCTAATTTGGTTCGTAGGTTCGTGTACACGAATATAACTGATGAATTGTTGGATCGGCCGGGTTTGGGAGCACCGACTCCGGATACCTTCGTCAGATCCGATCTGCGCTCCATCACCAAAATCCAAGTTACCTCTGGTTATTGGCTTCATAACCTCCAGGTGAGACCTACGATAGAATCGATCATTGAACATGGGCTTCTACAAGGCAAGTACTATTTAAGAGTGTTTTCCGTGGCATCATGTTATTGCGAAACAAAAAATATATTTTGTACCGGTGGGCAAGAACAGTTTCTGCGCTCCCAGAATGAATTAAATGAAAAGAAAAAGGAAAAAACACTCGAACTCTCGAAAAGTCATTTTCGTTCTGCCGACGTCGGCCAGGGGAATTTGGTTTATGACGTTCAATGTCCCAATAATAAAAATATAGAGGCATGTTGTGATGTAATTGAAGTGAAACTTTTTATTTTCAGAGAGATGCTGCCTGTTTCGTGAATTACGTTTCGCCCACATTGGCAACGAGTCTGGGCTGGTGGGGCATGAAATTCGTCCTGGAAAAGTCCAAGCAGAGAACGGAGAAACGCAAGAAACAATGACGGGATTCCCCGACGATGCAGTCCTTTCATTGGGCGCCGCTTTTCCCGGGCTTGTACACGACTGGGATCTTGTTTGGCAGGGGTCGTCATTCAACGGAGGAATGTAGTAGAATGAATTAAAACAATGACGGGATTCCCCGACGATGCAGTCCTTTCATTGGGCGCCGCTTTTCCCGGGCTTGTACACGACTGGGATCTTGTTTGGCAGGGGTCGTCATTCAACGGAGGAATGTAGTAGAATGAATTTTCGGAGCAGAATTATTTCTTCGGAATAGAGTGCCGCACATGATTTTAGTAACGAAACTATAGCCTCCTCACTTTGTTTCCTTGCGCTTTATTCTGCTGGATTCTTTCGCATTCGTCCTGCACTTTCCGTCAAGATTGATGATCGTCACATCAGATTCCATTTCAACTTAGTTATTGTAGGAAGGAGACGAACCTGGAAAGAATAGGAAATTCCAGATTCTTTTCAGTTGGAACTTGGTTTCTTTGTCGAATCCCAATCAGACGTGAAGATGCTACGATGCGTCGGAATCCCGGGCTGCCTGATAGAAATGCTATAAAATGCTTCGGTGAGATCTTTTCCCACATTCCCTCAGCTTCGAAGCTCCACTGACGGCCTTCGCAACCTAGGAATGTGAAACGCAAGGATTCGGCCTCGAATTGATGGCCTGCACGTGCTCAAGACTTGTGGTCTCCAACGATTTTAGGTTGGAATTCGCATATGCTCACCTGTCAACCGACGATTTACCTCGTGATGCCCCTGTCCTTGCACCAAGGCGGTGAAGGACGATTGAAGTAGACTGAGAGGAGTGAAAGACTGGCGGGTTAGAAAGCGAGGAAAGTCGTTTCAATGTGGGTTGTATGGGAAGGTGCCGAAACGTGCTTAATATTGAAAGGTGCAAGGCCGACTTGGTGCCGTTTATGCCCCCTCTTTTGGTTACTCGACGCTTAATCGTGTCAAAAACTTCTATCTCATCATTAGTTTCCATTTCCACCGCCGTCGCTAGATGATGATGTCACTGGGTGACATGCACCACATCGGTTTATGAGCTAAACTGATCTGATTCTAGGCAAATATGTTTAAGAATGAGTTGAACTCATTGTTAAAGTGATTTGTGTTCAACCCCCCCCCACCATAATTTCCAGTGGCTCTTTTTTCCCAGCAGGTGCAATATTTTCTTAAAGGGGCCACACGATTTATCAAGTTTCGGTCAGCACGAAGGTCAGTCCAGAGATCCAAAGGTCAGCCGTTTGTTCAACTCTCAAAATATGACAGAGCACTATTTTTTCTATGAATGCATTGATAAATGCGATCGCGGCTAGTTGGATCTTTAAATGCAAGTCGCAATCGTGCCCTTGCAGCAGCCTAAAGGTTACGTTTGTTCAACTCTCAAAATATGACAGAGCACTATTTTTTCTATGAATGCATTGATAAATGCGATCGCGGCTAGTTGGGTCTTTAAATGCAAGTCGCAATCGTGCCCTTGCAGCAGCCTAAAGGTTTAGGATGAATTTTCTTTCACAGTCATTCCACTCATTATGATTCCTGCGGATCATCATACGACCTTGAAACTCGAAAACATTTCATGGTACACTCCTACGAATTTGCTTACCAAAATTTCAAGATCGCCCAAACTCCTTTGCACTTTTTTCAGCGATGAGTACACGATCGTTATGATGCTTTTACCTCGTGGCAATGATATGAGATCTCCTTTCTTCACCTTTTCGACTCATTCGCGGTCGGGGTCTCCACCGAACCTGGGGGCGTGCAGTCGTGCTTCGCGGTGGGCGTCGTCGTTTCTCATCCTCGGTCATTGGTCTGTGCGCGCCTGCAGTCGCGCACAAATCGCCGTGCAACGTGCAGATCACAGTGGTGTCGCTCGTGGAACCCTCCAATGGCCCTGCGGTCTGAGAAGGCCTCGCAGTCTTCTTTTGATCCTTCGTCGGAGCAGCTGGTCTCGCTCGACCTTGACATTGTTTGCGTCTCCCCCTCGAAGCTATTATCTCGAAGCATCTCTCTACCTCTCAGGCTCACTCTCGCTCACTCTCCCCTTCGCACCAGGAGTGCTATGGTGGTGCCCTCTCGACTTAACGTGCGTATCCCGTTTAAGATTTTTCTCGATGGTAGCATGGCCATTCCCAAAATCTATTTTTTTTAGAAGTAATTCTCGAGACTTTTAAGTCCTAAGTAATTAGTAAGTATTCCTCCACCTCGAATGACGAGTTATTTTAGATCGAAATGCACCGAAAGCAATTACTCGAAACCATTGGATTATAATTTTTGGTTTTCCTGGGTTTTTGACTGATCAACCAATCATTCTACACCTCAGGAATTAGATGGATATTTTCTATTTAACTAACCTTCCCAGGCAGCGCACCTTGTTGAGCCCATGTGGTGAAGGGTCGCCGGCTCCCGAATAAAGGTTATAGCCGCTTCCCGGGAACCAGCTTACGAACGACCGTGAGGCGATCGTTCGTCATCGATGCCCCGAGACCCTTCAAGGTCAAGGGAGCCGCGTGGATGGTATGCAAGACTGTCAAGGAAATGTGAAGGGGGAGAAAGATGACCTGCGCCGCAGTTAAGAGGTACGTAATCCTACCCTGATCATACCCTGACCAGACGTGGCCGACAAATGGCATCATGAACAAAACGATGGACATGACATTGATGCGAAAACGTCTGAGTCACACGCGCCGATGAGCGAATATGAGACACCATTCCCTTCAAGAAGCACGGCTCCGCGCACCTTGGTTAAGAAGCGCGATTCTGAAACAAGGGCAATCGTGAAAACTGCAAGTTGTGAAGAGTTGAAGCGGTCAGCTTAGTCACTTAGTCCGGTAATTTCAATTGTATTGAAATGTCCGTGTGACTTATTGCTGAGTGATTATTGCTGTGTGATTAATGAGCGTGATTTATTGCTATTCGGACTAATTCACTTCGGACGCACCTTCAGCGCTCTACGATCTAAGAAAATTACAAACACTTTTGAGGCATCCGTTTTCGATCCTCATACCTACTGGACACCCGAAGCCAAGCGAGGTTCCCCGACAGAATATTGAAAAACAAGGCCGCCTGCCTCGAGCTACGTAAAATGAATGTAAAAATGCTGTTGGGGATGCAAACGGGAATGTCAATTTTGCGTAAAATTTACGTTAATTTTATATCACCGTTTACGTATTACAGAGGTTACATTTTTGCAAACATGTTGACATTATCTTGATGATGGTTTGCGTAAAATAGATATAAAAGGGACCAAAAATTTACATTTAGTTTACGTAAAATTAGCATAAACATGCTGCTTGGGCTTATGCTTATCGTTTTCATTTACGGAGGAATTGAAAAAAGAATCTTTGCCTAGTGTCTTTCAGACGAAGAATCTAATACGAGAATGGAGGAGCGATGTTTTATGTGGTCTCTTGCTTCGTGGATGATGACAATCACGGTGCTGGCTGGGGCAGGCGTGCAGCTTTTCCACCTAATACGAAGGCTCTTTATCCATAGCTTCGGCTCCTACCCCTCTTTCACCTCCTATGGCGCCTGGGCAGGTGAGAGTCTCACGCATGGAACTCAAAGTCGTCTCCTGAATGGAATATGTAGGAACACCGTATCGTGGGAAGTAAGAAATCTGGGGAGTGGCAGGAGATGATCTGAAAAGTCTTCGCTTCTGAGAAGGCCAGAACACAGAGACCCCTAGTAAGAAGGGGCGGGCGGGGACGCAGCCCCTTATAAGCTTAACAAAAAACGAGTGACATCATGTGACTTTTAACATTTTCATGTCAGCTGAGTGTAATGCAAGGTTCAAGTTGAACAAATGAAGTTTGAAAAAGAACACGAAGCGTTCTAGTTGTTCCAGCAACATTGATACAATTTAGGTGATTCCTTCGCATTATTGAGGCAGATCAGGCAGCTAAAAAAAAAAGAGAGAAACCAGGATGCATGAATAAATTACAGTTCAGTTTATTCGTCTCACTTACAGATGTTCAATCTTTGAGACTCACAAGGGACACTACCCAAGTGATAATTTCAGATTTTCACCAAACTTTGGTCAATGAAAGGACTCTCAAAACGAAGCCAAACGGCACCAAAACTTGTGGCTGAGAAACAGGTTTAGGCTCATATCTGGCTATTTTAATTTTTAGTGAGACAGGATTATTATAGTCACCGCCCTATTTTCATTGGCTATAACTTTTCAAGGGTTAGTTATATTCAGGTGATACTTTACAAAGAGGTTCACGAGCCAAGGAGGTTTTTTCCTTTGCTGAAAGATGTCGCTACATGCGGGTAGAGGGCGCGGATGTCGACAGCAACGCCACCAATCCACTTGCTATGTCATTTTTGACAATATCTACTTGCTATGACATAGCGCCACCTATCTACTTGCCATGACATAGCAAGTTGATAGGTGGCACTGCTGTCGACATCCGCGCCCTTTATCGGCATGCAGCGACATCTTGCAGCAAGGAAAAAAACCACTTGGGCTTATGAGCCTTTCTGTCAAGTATCACCAGAATATGACTTTCCCTTGAAAAGTTATAGCCAATGAAAATAGGGCGGTGACTGTATTAATCCTGTCTCATTGAAAATTAAAATAGCCAGATATGAGCCTAAACCTGTTTCTCAGCCACAAGTTTTGGTGCCGTTTGATTTCGTTTTGAGAGTCCTTTCAATGACCAAAGTTTGGTGAAAATCTGAAATTATCACTTAGGTAGTGTCCCTTGTTAGACCGACTCATTGATTCCGCAGAGCGCATCGATCCCTGATAACTCCAGAATTCCCAGCGGCGCCGACTTTGGACATTTTTAAAGTAAAAAGAATAATCTCAAATGTATTATGGATATGTTGCCACACTCCTTTCAATTCTCAGTGGTGACGGGATGCACGGACGGGATCGGACTCAGCTACGCGAAGGAGGTGAGGTTCGCACCTCGAGATTCAAACGACGACCCTACAAGAAATGAGACCCTTCGAGGATTTTCTTTTGTTGCAGCTGGCGCGGCACGGGATGAAAATCGTTTTGATCAGCAGGAACCCCAAGAAGCTGGAAGCTGTGGCTGAGGATCTAAGTAAGATGCACTTTCTATTTGTTTCCATCGTTCTTACGTGGACGGTTTTAATACTAATATGGTGACAAATTTAACAACACTGCACCCAAACATTGAGGCAAATATAGTTTTGCCGGAAACTATATTTGCCTTAATGTTTACAACATGAATGCTTAATTTCAAATTTGCGATTCGAATGCCCCTGAAATTTTTTCATTTTGTAAGGGGGCACATCCGTTCTCCTTTCGACATATGCTGAGGTCAGCATACGTGGCTAGGATGATCGGGTGTCTCTGAAACCGTAGGCAGTCGGTGAGGGCAACGCCACCTTTTCGTAACCGAAATTCAAAATCTTTTTACGCCACCGTTTCAGAAATGTCAGGTGAAAAAGGCATTTTTAGCAGAGTCCATCGCAAGTAACGGGAAACATTTTTTTTGGTCACAAATACTCACACCTAAAATGCACATTGAAAAGTATGCACATTCTTAGGCCACTCTGTAAATGATTGGGTCAACAGAATAGATGTAAGGCTACACAAACTCCTTCCTCGCCTTTTCAAGAGGGCAACACGATGCCCAAAAGCTGCTTGAACCCATTTTTCCGGTGAGAAAAGGAAATATTTGGTGACGTTGGATGAAGCTAGAATTTATGACTGATTTTAAGGAGATTAGGACAGTTCAACACGCAAGCAAACAACTTGGTGAAAAAGACTTTCATAAATGTTACCGCGAGTGGAGCGAAACTTCGAAATTTCATCGATATGAAGCTTCAAAATGTCTTCACGAGCAGGATATTTCCAGGGTTCATGATAACGCTGTCGATGGATGGCTGAAAATCCGAGCTTCAAATCAAACATTCCTGAAAAGTATTAAAACCACATAAATTCTAGTCGCAAGGGAAGTGGCGCCAGAGAGGAAAAACGCTCTCTGCAGAACTTGCAAGGAAAAAGGGGTAAAGACACCTTTTTTTTACGAGAGAATATTTTCGAATGAAAACTTCGTTGTTGGGCTATTTTCCTCATTCAGGGACATAAAATGAATAGTCGGTGGAGAAATGAAGACATCCCCTGAAGATCTTGCTGAAATCATGAAAGATGAATCCAAATAGGCCTTTGTATATGACTGTCTGACATGGAAAGATTTGTTTATATTATTCTTCTATCCGTCTACTTCGAAATGATTCCATTTTTAATTAGGTACATTTGTTCGAAAGGGTGAGAGTACTTACATTAAAAATGAGTATTAGGCTCATGAACATAATTTGGCTTTATCTTCGTTCCCTCACAGTCATTTATAATTTTCATGTCGAATTTGGAGTTCTGTCTGATGCTCTGGAAATCTCCCATCAGAGAAGGAATTCAACACAGAAACCCTCATGATACCAGCCGACTTCACGGAGCTGAACATATACGATGGGATAAAGGAGAGAGTGGCTGGCCTGGACGTCGGTGTCCTGGTGAACAACGTCGGGATGCCGAGCGACCCCCAGCCCTTCCTAGACGTCCCAGAGGGCGAGAAGACGTATCAGGACATGCTCCTGGTCAACAATCTGTCCATGGTCCAAATGACGAAGATGATCCTTCCCGTGATGGTGAAAAAGAAAAAGGGGGTCGTGATGAATGTCTCCTCCCTTGCTGGCGTCTCCCCTCTTCCTTTCGTTGCGATCTACTCCGCAACAAAGGTACAGTGGTACCTCGCATAACGAACGCAATTCGTTCCAGCGGTACACCGCTGGAACGAATTGCGTTCGTTATGCGAGGTACCACTGTATTTACACCTTTATAAGCCGAAAAGTAAGTATACTTACCGCTAAATGTTTTCCCGGAATGCATAATGGTCACTAAAGCGGCCGCACAATCTGGACACTCTTCAAAGAGGCTTTTATTGGACAACCCCTTTTGTGTGCTGTTATTCTTTTCCTTGCTTTTGTGTACTTGCATTTCACATTTAAACACGTCCATTTAAATATCGGCAGTGAAGCAACACAGGGGCAATTAAATGCCGTACGATGAAGGTGAACTGATTCGTTAGAAAAAATTTCGGACAAATACAAGGTTCACATACTCATACTATACTTTTACATTCGATATTCTTTAGAAACTCGGCCCAAATACTACATCATAAGCATTTTTTTTTTCTTCTAATTCCAGGAGAATCGCCATGTGCAACATTGAATAGTTTTTCTTGCCTGTAACTTTACCCGTACGAGAAGTTGAGAGGATACTGAGGGTAAAATACCCAAGCCGTGGTAAGTATTTGCACTGAGTGGCGGTGCTACTCCGACTCAAGTCGGTGTCGCTCCTATGCACTGATATTTGGGTTGGAAGAAGTGTGAATTAATCTATCCATCAGTCGACTGAATGTTCGATGTCTACTTCAGTTGTGCAGTTCTGGCGTTTTTTTCGTCTAAGTAAATTGCAATTAGGGTTTCAGGTTTCCCCGCGGTCGGTGAGGAATTTGACGTCGAAAGGACAAGGATTTCCTTATTGATATCCCCCTATATATTTATAAGTTTCTCGGCAACCAGGAGACTAAATTGCCTAAAAACTTGAAACAGTTATTAAAATATTAGACGGATCAGTTTGACATGAACCCTGATTCATATCATTTCATGAAAAGTTCTCGAAGTTTGACCAAACAGTTTATGGTTTAATGCGAGCAATTTGCGCGTAAGTACAACTTTTGCCATGCAAATTTACAGTACTCAGTCTCTCAGTTTAATATACTGCCATGCATTATTCACTGGAGCCTCTTCGGAAAGTTGTCAACGACTTTGCTCATCGTCTCCAAAGATAAACTAAGGCGCTGATTGTTCCTTATTTGCAATGATTGTTTTTGTTTTCGTTTGAACTGTGGTGATAAAAAAAACTGTTTGGTCCAATTTTGATATCATTTCGATCCGCCTAATATTTTAATAACTGCTTTCTGACTATTTGTACTCTTTTCATTCAAAATTTTACGCAGTTTAGTGTCCTGATTGCCGAGAAACTCATAAATATATAAGGGTGTACTTTTTTTCCGGACACCCTGTACATTAAAGTTATCTAATGATGTATGGTGAGGCTGATGAGCGATTTATCATTTCAACTTCTCTTTAGGCATTTGTGGACAGTTTCTCTCAGAGTCTCGCCTACGAATACAAAGATAAAGGGATTCACGTTCACCTCGTCGGTCCTGGGTCAGTTTTCCTCAAATAGAAGTAACGGGTGGAAAATATTGGGCTCTAATGTTTTTAATTTGGCCCGCAGGTTCGTGCACACGAAATTGACAGACAAATTTGTGGATCGGCCGGATTTAGCTATGCCGACCCCGGATACCTTCGTTCGATCCGATCTCCGCTCCATCCCCAAAATCAAAATTACTTCCGGATATTGGTATCATAACCTCATGGTAAGATCTGCGACCGAATCATTAATTCTTTTTAACCTTTCCAAGCAGTCGCATCATGTGAACCCGCCTCAAAAGTCTTTGATACGATGCGACTTATGAAACCGCAGTAGGGAGTTTTTAAAATGAGCTTTTCTGTCTTGATTTCCATACCTCATTATTCTCCAGATCTCTCACTATCACATGTGCGAACAAAAGATCCAAGCTCAAGTACCTAGATGGTAGCTATAGTTAGTACACCTAGTAGGAAGATATTAGAGAACTCGATGAAAACGTATACACAGGCTCGTAGCAGCGTGAAATGCCATTGAATAAAGTTTCAAGGGCGTTTCACGAATGTTCTGGAATAAAAAAGACGCAAAGGCATCAATATTAATGAGGAGAAGGACTCGCAATGCATTTATGATCGAAGGAATGTTTACATTCGCGATTCGTTGAAGGAAAACCCTTGCAGTTGAACCGTTGTTGAGTTGAAAGAAATGCGAGATGAAGTCTCTGAAGACTTCATCTCGCATTTATCTCTGAAGACTTTCGACTAGTAGTTCGAGCGTGCGTTAGACGGAGTTGATTCGGGGTCTCCGATATAAGCACGAACCCGATGCAGCCCCGGTTTTCATCGCGACTGACTTGAAGGATTTCATCTTGGCATCGCAGCTCACTTGGAGGCTCGAAATTCGACAGCGAAGTGACATCCTTTCCACCGTTTCGGGCGAGGAGGAGGACTGTCAGTCAGTTTAAGTCAGTGTGCTTCGGAAGGTATCGCTTGAACAGTCTTTCTATGCTCGATATCATGGTGCACGTGGCTCATGAGTTTCTTAATTGTTTAGCACGTACGGTACATTGTCAGCATACAGATGTTAACCGAGTCGAACGGATTTTCCTTTACAGAGAGAGACCATCCGTTTTGGGGGCTTCGCTGTACCTAATGAGATCACGAACATTCTCGGAAGGCTCTTCACGGCGGCGCTGGAAAGGACAAAGAAAAAGAAACTACAAACGATTATGGAATATTTCAACTTTTGGAGGAAATGACATTGACAAGGTTCATCTGAATGCAGCCATTTGGATTCATTCACGGATTTCCTTTGAAGCGGGATGCTCCCCAACATATCCATTTTTTTCTCAAAAGTTGATTATTAAATGCCCAAAGGGATTATCTTCACGCAAAAAATTCTATTGATTTTTTATTACTCAGCCGTACCCTTCTACCATCTTCGAAGGACTTCCCATTTAACTTACTGCATCCCAATCGAGTTTCATTGAATCATGAGATGAATCTCCACAGCAAGTAGAGATCCAGACCGTTGTCAAGTGTCGCGCTACGGAACTTCCATTTCTTCAACCAAGTCCATCGCCAGAACGTAAATTTCTTGGTTGATGAAACAGTCACGGACACGAGAAATAGCTGAATTTTTGCGATGGCAGTAGTCGGGTGCTTCACAGACACCTCTGGTGAAAGAAGACTGCACTGTGCTCATATTGAGCCCTGCACAGACGTGCAATAGAGTCGAGAGCTGCTGCTACGCAAAAATTTCACTCGTACTTACATGTCGGCAACTAGCACCAAATAGGTGAGGTTGCACATGCACTAGCACAGTCGCGCAAAAGCAAGTTTTCCCACGCAATGGCACAGCCTTGGGCTATATTCACTTTGATCTATCCAAATGAATAATATTTTTTAGTACAGTGACATAACAATCAATGTCTGTGCATTATATTTTCCCCTGCCATCGGTTAAGTGTCATACATGAAGCAGGCATAGGTTGTTAACTAAAACGGACTTCGTGAACGCAGCTCGAGGCAGGTGGCCTCGTTTTTCAATATCTTGTCGGGAACCTCGCCTTTGCCTCCGGCGTCCAACGTCGGCGCTGTCAGATCAGGTCCATCCATAATTTTTTTATTTACATATTCATGTACACAACCTTGTTTAAAAAGAAAATTGCAAGGGCCATTTGCAACAAGGACATTTGTGGACGCATCATCCTGAATCGTCCACTAAGCCTTGAAGAGTTATTCATTTCGAGGAAAACATGTAAAAAAGGAATCGAGCAAACACTGAACCAAACAATTGGCGCAATGTTTTGAACTCGGGACGCTTTTAGCAGTAACATCGGCAAGAAGCAAGCAATCGTAATGGTTCTTTCGTCATTTGATAGACATGCATGGAGGCTACTCAGAGATGGTATTCTTAGGTCGTCGCTCTTCAAAACAGAAAAACATAGGCTTTCGAAGTTGGGCAATGCATTGCGCCTGTTTCTTTGCTTTCCTGTTTCTTACTTTTTACTCTGCCGTCGGTATACTGTAAGTGTCTTAAATGAGAGAGGGAGAGGCGGATAACCAAAACGGAGTTCGTTTACACGGCTCGAGGCAGACAGCCTCGTTTTTCAATATCCAGTCGGGAAACCTTGGCTTCGCATCGACCCCATGGGCTAGAAGTCGGAAAAGAAAACCCGATCGATGTGAAGGTGAGGCCTCGTTTAGGTTGTACGACTCTCCCCCTGTTTATGTATACCTCATATATTGCAATTAGAATACTTTGAGTACATTTCATTCCTAAATATGTCACATCCCTTTGGTGATTCATGAATATATTTCTCGTGCTCCCAACCACGAGATTTTGGAGCAGTTGTGATATTTTCGTTTATTCTACAAATCACGGGAGCCATATATTCTCATGTTCAGCCGTCAGATGATCCGAGGATTTCACTGCTCCTCCAGCCCTTCGAAGAAGGCGACCAAGTCGAATCGAGGCATAAGATTCGTGGTCGAGACACGCGGCATCTTTGACTTCTCAGCGCTTGGTCGAGTCAGGAGAGGTGAGAGCTAAAAGGAGGATAGCAGTGGATAGCATGGAGTAGCATGGTGCAGACAAGGTAGAATACCATATAGAAGATTGTGGCAATGAGTAGCATGGTGCAGAGAGGGGAGAATATGGTATAGAGTAGCATTGGGTAGCGTGAGTCGTATGGTGTATACGGGAGAGGAGCTAGATATAATATATTTCGCCGAAAGCAAATGGAGCCTCTACCTCGCAATATCCTTCTATGGATATTGCTTCATGGAGAAGCAGGTTTGATTTTTCGCTGACTCCATCCTCCTCGTCGGGGAGTATCGTTGGCTCGGTAGTTGCCTGAGTCATATTTTTTAATCGCAAAGCAAGATCTGTCACGTCGAAAACAGAAGCTCCTCGAATAAATTACCTTGCAGTATTGTAGATAGGACAAGGAAATTTACTCGGGAATGGAAGGGGGATGTTGTAGTTGGGCAGTGGCTTCGCGGTTGATCACGTTTTCAGTGCTCGCTTGGGGAGGCTTCCTGCTCTTCCACATGATGCAGCGGTTCTACATCCACGCCTTTGCCCCCTACCCTCCTTTCATCTCATATGGCGCATGGGCAGGTAAGAGAGAGACTCTATCTAAACTAAGTCTATGTGGAAGAAATGTAGCT